TTATAATCTCCTCAAAACTTTTTTCATACAGCACCTCCATGTATTCTGTGACATGATCAGAAATTTCATCCCATGAACAATAAAGTTTATCCACAAGGCGATTTACCAAACGCTTTTTAATGAGTTCAAGAATTCTTAAGAAGAGGTGAGTGGCTGTTGTGACTGAATTGACATCTTCTGGGCTTGCAGCCCATAAGTAGGTCAAGAGAGTAAGATTTAGAGGCAAACGAAAATGTTCTCCCAGGCGAGCTTCTGATTTCTTTACGTAATCCATCAACTTCTGCGTGTCTTGTTGGCTCATTTTTTCTTTTTTCATTTCCTCGTGCAGTTTATACACAAACTCTGGTCTTTGCTCAGCTGTGATGCCCAAAATTCTCATGTGTATCCATTCAGACTTTATGCAGTAGTTGGGTAATTCCCTTAGTGCCTGTGGTCTTGTAGTTAGCAGAAGGTGAAAGACACCTGTGCTCTTTGGCATCTTATCCATCACAATTTCCTCTACTAACTGTCTAGAAGCTTTGTTTAGTTCATCCAGTCCATCGAGAATTAGAAGAACTCTGAGTGCCAACACAGATCGCACAATGTCCTCATTTGACATGGAGTAAGAAGCACAAGGCATGAGCAAGTTTAGCAACTCAGCAAAGTTTGTAACAAATTTGTTCTTGCATTCAGCATACAAGACAATTTCATAGTTCTCTAGATTTTCAATCTGTGGGTGAGATGTGGGGGACATCTCAGCCCACTCTGCCAGAATGAGTTTTCCAAATGTGCTCTTCCCTGCACCTGCCTCCCCTTCAATTACTATTATGTTGGGCATCTCTCCCTTTTCAGTCTTCTGCACTAGCACAGATTTGTAATCAATGTGAGTTTGACTTTGTGCTTTATCTTCCATTATAACTTCCAAATTTGTGAAAATGGCTCTCACTTTAAGCGTCTCTTTGCCTGATATGAAAGATGCTGGGTCCACGTTTGTCTGGCCCTTTATTTTCTCCTTTACCTCTACCACTCCACTGTTTTTTATATAATTTTCTAAATGCTCTCTTAGCTCTCTGATTTCATCTTGGTACTTGTCAGCATCTACAGGCAGGCCTGGTGCATTCTTTATTTTTTCAATATTGGCATTCATTCTTTTTACTGCGTCATCAATTATTGAGGCTGGGATAGAGTAGCGGCTGCCAGCAGACTCGTATCCCTTCTCCAACAGACTTTGCAGGTTTACAAGCCAGTCAATCATAGCTTTCTCATCTGGAAGTTCCAAACCATGGACAACACTATTTCTCTGTTCTTTAATCATACTACAGTAGTTCTCAAGTTTATTACCTTTAGCTTTCCATTTGTGAGGTTCATTGGGAGGTGCAACCTTATCACAAGCATTCCTGATGACAGCATACAGTAAACTTACATCAAATGTTTTTCCTGAAGAGTCTGCATCAATCGTCTGTCTCATATGAGCATAAAATATTTTTTCGTAATCTGATTCTTCCATGCCTTTGCTCATCAGGTACTCTTTAACTGTTTTGTTTTTATCTTTGGGACATCCTCTCTGAAATACAAACAGGAGGAATGCTTTTCCTTCACAGGAAATACATTTGAACACCTTCAATAGGCGGATGTCTCTTTCATCCAAGCCTCCAGGACTAGGGATTGATGACATGGTGACCAGATTATCATTTAACAGCAATAGACAAATTTCGTGTGGAGTAAGGTCTACTTTTAATATCTTTCTACTGTTTCTGAGTCACTGTATTTCCCACCATCCACTCCAAAGGCTGCACAGTCCATGTTTCAAAACCTGTGAGGGACAGAGAATAAGGAATTAACATAAAAACACTTATTATTGAGATTGTTTCTACATCCATAATTTTACCAATAACATTATCATTAGAAGATACTGATCACTTTTCATATACATACATACATAGACAAAGAAAGTGTGTGTGTTTCTACACACAAGTATGTGTCTGGATTGGTGTACTAATTCTTGACTGTAGCATAGCATAGCATACTGCATAGCATACCACGTGGTCTACATCTATACCGCATGGTCTGCTACGGACGCCATGTGATACCCACGTGTAGCCAGGCTCCACCCAAGCCATGCTTGTGCTCTGCGCCCCCCTCTGGTCCGAATAAAAGGGAGGCCGGCTTTGACCCCCTCTCACGCCTTCAGCGACCTTTCCTGTGACCGGGAGTGACCGCTCACCCGGCGGCTGACCGGGCGATCACCAAGCCATGTGGCCGCGCCCAGGCTTGGGCTCGCTGGCCTCGGCTCCCGTCAGCACCACCAGCTTCAGTGCGTTATCCATATGCGATTTCTCGTGTATACATTTAAAAGTGCGTATAACTCTTAGAAATAAAGAGGACAGCCGCAAATCAGTGTTTTCACTAGCCGCCACCAGTTGTTTCAAAACGTTACCCAACTTATATTAGGCGTTTAAGTTACCTTTTGTATTTTTTTTTTACTTGGGGAACTTTTGCTCTTTCAAGGAAGGGTTGTTTT